AGGTGATAACATCATTTAACCCTAAAATTTGACAGTTGGACAGTAAATTTAATGGGAATATATGTATATATATATATATATATATATATATATATATATCTATATATATTTATACATGACAGCTATTGATATAAAAAATGTTACTTCTGCTGTATCATTATGTGTGAATATAATTACAAATATTAATAAATACGTTAAATTGAATAAATACCTGCAATTAAAAATCAGGTGTCTAAGTCTATATAATTATATAATATTATCAAATCATCTATCCATTGGCATATGGTGCAACAAAATTGTCTTTGCTTACAACTGCATTTCACATCATTTTATAACAGTTTGCAATTGCAAACGATGCACATGCACTGCGCAATAATGCGATCGTATTGCCAGAGTTGACAATTTATAAATTGAAGTTTTGGGTCTGTTCGCAGTGGCAGTTTGTGACGATCCACAACTCTTCCAAACTCATTCTGATTTGTTACACTGCGCATGCGCCGTCTCATGACTGTTTCCAACGATTTGACAGGACGGTTTACATCGAACGCGACCTAACCTTCACAAACCGTTTAGTATAATTCGTTTTGTTTTTATGTTTATTTGGGCAGTTGAATATTGATCTAATACTACTAGTTTTAGTTAAATTATATTATTTATTATTTATATTTTTTTTAGCTTTATTGTTTAATATAATAATAGATTAAAAATATAATAAATAAGTTTTTCGATGTTTATTTTCATCAAATATATAAAACAGTTATTCAATTATTTATTTTTAATCGTTAAACTCCTGTAAATTTGATGAATTTATTAATCTCATACTTTATTTGAGGTTAGAAAAGTCAAGAATTAATGTTTTCAAAGAATCGGCATCCATGTTCTCTGACAGTCACAAACGCATCAAACCGAGCTGACCGAACGCGTAGATAAAAATCCACAACAGTTTGGGATTCAGTTTGGACACATCGAACGGTCAAATTAATGCGATTAAAGCGCCATCACCCAACCTGGCGTTTGTGACTTTCCCTAGCTCTCTGAACGCAAATACCGCGAGAGAGAAACGTCTATATTAGTATATTGTCTAGGGTCAAAACGATCTGCGCATGCGTCTGACGGTTGCGGACTGTCGGTGACTGTACTCCGAACAAACCCTTTATTTCAGGATACGAAACATAGATAAAAGAAGTGTATAGGAAACTTTATACTATTGACTCATGTGAATAGATAAAAGAGGGTGGGTACTCTTCTTTTATCTATGGGTGGGTATATTATGGGGGTGATGGGGGTGATTCATAGACCTTATATAATACATATAAGGACTATGGGGTGATTATTTATCTATAAAACTTATGTCAAACTCATAGATAAGTAAACATATACATACTCTTCTTTTATCTATGGAGATAAGATACATGAACTTCCCGATATGTGTAAATAATCGATTTAATCAATAAAAAATAAATTAATTTTTGAATCATTAAAAGTATTCCGAGTGGATTTATTATGCATAATTGAAAACGAACGAACTATTGCACGTTAACATAATAATTTTTATAATTGAACCAGTTTTCGTAGAACTTTAATGGTTTAATATGTTTATTAAGACCATGTACTCTATCGTTATACGAAATAAATCATCTAATTTTAATTTTAACAAACGTCAAAAAATATATACTCATTTTCTCAAACTTTGAAGAATTTTTAAAATTAAACTAATTGTCGTAAGGCAATTTCAGTAAGTTCTATAAGACCATTAACTCTTCTTTTATCTATGGACCGTGATATATATCGCCAAAAAAGTTCCATAAAAATCGGCTTGAATTTTTTTTTCAACAGTTGCAATTACAAGAAAACGGCTCAGTAGATTTTCACCTAAAACTAATCAGTATCGTTCCCAACTAATATCTTTCAAACAGTTTTTGATTTTTTAAAATCGATTCGGTAGTAAGAGCTTCAATGTGGACAAAAAGTTTAACACTTTTTTCCAAATTACAAAGAAACGCCTCGGCCGATCGTCGCACAAAACTGACAAACGATGAGGACATCCAGATACATCAAATGGCTTTTACATTTCTGAAATCGGTTCAGCCGTTTTTTAGCAAACGTCGAAGAAAATTTTAATTTTGACAAATGCCAAAAAAGCGATACTAATTTTTGCAAACTTTGACGAATTTTTAAGTTAAACGAGTTCTCGTGGGGCCGTAATATTTTAGTATGATCTATAAGACTATGGTATTCACCGTCAAAAAAAAACAGTAAAATCGTCGCAAAAAATTTGTTTAACACTTTAATACAAGAAAACGGCCCGGCCGATCTCTTCGAACTCTATTTGAATTTTCAAAATCGATTCAGAATTGCGGGCTAAAACGTAAACTAAATTTTTTTCACTTTTCTACTATTTATAAAAAACGGCTTGGCAGATTGTCGCACGAAACTGACAAACAAAATAGTCCTCATTGTGATACACCGAATGGCTTTTAAATTTTTTAAATCGGTCCAGCCGAGAAAACGTCGATTTACGGCAAAAAATCTGTTCACACACACACACACACATACTTTTCACAAATTTGGTTTCATTCGGTTCAGAATGGCTTGAAACGTCGAGAAAACATAAAACTAGCAAATCGGATTTTTTTATGAAAACACAAACTTCTTCTTCGAGAAGTTAATAAACATAATACTCACAATCCATAGATAAATAAGAACAATCTGTGCCTGCTTGTAATTTTACTTTTAATAAGAGGATCGCAACAATCTCTTCTTTTATCTATGGATCACAAATTATGTGCGAAGGCATGGAAGGGGAAGTCAAATCGACCGAAGCGTTCGTAGTAGCTACTTTGAGCATTAAATTAATGTGGCTATTATAACCGAAATTTTAATCAACAACACATAAAATATTTGTTTATTTCAAATTTAAATAAGATAATTAAAAATGAGCAACCAAAGCTGTTGTATAGTAGGTTGTAGAAATACTAGCAGAAAAAGTGACTGCAAATTCTATACATTTTCTACAGCTAAGTGGAAAGAAAATCAACGGGAAAAGTGGATCCATGTGGATCGCTGCGGTTAGAAAAATAAAGTAAGTATCATAACCATATTATTATATTGTCTAGGATCATAACCTTCTTATTATAAAAATTCAATTCAGAGTACTATGAATAGTTGTATAATTGTTATGTTTAGCAAAAAGAAAAATTATAAGTCAATAAATTGTTATATTATCAAAATTTAATTCTTACTAGAAAAAAATGTTTTGCAAACAATGTAATTAATACAAGGCTAAAATAATAAAAATTATATATTTATATATTGTATATTGATTATGTATAACTATTCTATTATCTATATATTAATTATATTTTATTTAATAATAATTGTAATTTTGTGATTAAAAGAAAAATAAAAGTTATCAAATAGCGCTAAAATGTTTATTTTGCAAACAGTTTAATTAATACAATGCTGAAATAATGCAAAATATATATTTGTAGTGTTGATGGATCACCGCCGTGGGTTCCCAAGCCCTATGATCGCATTTGCAGTAAACATTTCATTAGAGGATAAAAATCGGACAATCGGACGAGGTATTGAGTCCTATTTACTTCACAACAATATTTCCTTCAATTTATAAGCCTCGAAAAGTTAATGTAGTTTTTTTTCTTGCAATTTTATTTGATGGATAATGGAAGACATGATGTCTTTATAATAATGTCTATTGTAAATCTTTAGTGTGACCAAAAATAATAAAAAATGAGCAAATTAATTTATTATTTACTTATTATATTAATAAAATATTTTTATCATTATTATATTGTTTTTATTAAGAACTATTCCGAGATTATGACATAAGCTTTGAGGCACTTTTTAAACAAATGTTTACTGCATTTCTTTATTTAATTTTATGTACATTATATATTTATTATATCATGGGTACCTATACATAGTTTCCTATACACTTATTTTATCTATGTTTCGTATCCTGTGGGTTTGTTCGGAGTACAGTCACCGACAGTCCGCAACCGTCGGACGCATGCGCAGATCGTTTTGACCGTTCGATGTGTCCAAACTGAATCCCAAACTGTTGTGGATTTTTATCTACGCGTTCGGTCAGCTCGGTTTGATGCGTTTGTGACTGTCAGAGAACATGGATGCCGATTCTTTGAAAACATTAATTCATGACTTTTCTAACTATAATAATTATAATTATAATTATATATAATTTTCTAAAATAAAGTATGAGATTAATAAATTCATCAAATTTACAGGAGTTTAACGATTAAAAATAAATAATTGAATAACTGTTTTATATATTTGATGAAAATAAACATCGAAAAACTTATTTATTATATTTTTAATCTGTTATTATATTAAACAATACAGCTAAAAAAAATATAAATAATAAATAATATAATTTAATTAAAACTAGTAGTATTAGATCAATATTCAACTGCGCAAACAAACATAAAAACAAAACGAATTATACTAGACGGTTTGTGAAGGTTAGGTCGCGTTCGATGTAAACCGTCCTGTCAAATCGTTGGAAACAGTCATGAGACGGCGCATGCGCAGTGTAACAAATCAGAATGAGTTTGGAAGAGTTGTGGATCGTCACAAACTGCCACTGCGAACAGACCCTATATATACATTTCTCATAGAATAGATAAAAGAAGAGCATAAGAAGAGATTATAAACGCTTCTTATATCTATGCTCACTATGGAGTTCGAACTAGTTCTTGTCTGTTCTCTATCTATGTTCTTGTCCTTACCACCACACGCTTATTCCACTCTGGGTACTCTGCTATTTCTGGGTCTATGGTGTGTCATATTATGAGTCGCCGCCTTCTCGGCCTTCAGACATATTATTTTTTGTTTACAAACAATTATTTGTTTCTGTTATTCTTTAAAAACTATGATTTTCGACATGAATATATTAATGAATAGCATCAGATAGTTATAACTAGGCATTTTTATTTTATTATAAAATTATTTATTTAGCAATAATGTTTAGGTAATATTGCCATAGCAATTCTTTCAAAGTTCAGTTTTTTGAATTAAAATTGAATAATGCTACTTTCAAGTTAATATATATGTTCTTTTTGTAGGTCATGCATTTCCAGTATTATTTTATATGTATTTCTAACAGACCTAATTTTGGTATCAAGCATAACACAGAATGTTTTAGAATTTGAAAACAGTGAAAAAATTTTGGAAGCAATAAATGATTCAATTAATTATAGAATCCAAAATTTGAAAGGAAAAGACGAAAAACCATGGTTTTCAAGTCGTGACACTGCTCTGTCTTACTGTGTCAGACCTGGAAAATGTGAAAAACTGGAATATAACATGTGTTTTAATGCCAAAATACCATATTCTTATACAAGTTTAGATTTAACATATTCTGTTAGTCAACAACAATCGTGGGACCAATTGCAGCAATATCAAACATTGATTCATATACCAAAATGTTGGGCTGTTATCCAGCCTTTCCTATGTGCAACTTATTTTCCCAAATGTGAAAACATTAGCAATACAGAAATTGTTTATATTCCTTCTCTGGAAATGTGCAAAATAATAATGGAGCCTTGTAGGCTCGTGTACAACACAACCTTTTTTCCTGACTTTTTAAAGTGCAACCCATCATTATATTCTTCCTCCTGTAAGAATGATGTAAGGGATATGAAATTCAACATCACAGGCCAATGTTTACCACCACTAGTTAAAACTGATTCAATTAAACATTTTTATGATGGTAATATAATATACTATTATTATTGTGTTGTAAATCATAATCTATTTGTTTCCAATTACTTTTAGGTATTGATGGATGTGGGCTTCAATGTAATGATGCTTTATACACAGTGAATGAGCATCAACAGATTCATAAATTAATAGCTTGGGGTGCCACAATTTGCTTGCTTTGCAATATGTTTACCATTTTAACATTTTTAATTGATTGGCAAAATGCTAATAAATATCCAGCACTCGTAATCTTTTATATAAATTGTTGGTTCTTGATTTCATGTTTAGGGTAGGTTTACGATTGAAATACTTTTAATTTACATTCAGATTAACAAATATACAATTTCAGGTTTATTGCACAATTTATACCTGGAGCTCGTGAAGATATTGTTTGCCGTAAAGATGGCACTTTAAGACAATCAGAACCTAGTGCAGGGGAGAATCTGTCTTGTGTCGTTGTATTTGTAGTGGTATATTATAGTCTGATTGCTGCAATGGTCTGGTTTGTCATATTTACTTATGTATGGCATATAAGTTTTCAGGCGATAGGTATGTATTGTCAAAGAATGGTCAAAAAATAAAAAGTCTCTTTGGGTAGCTAATACAAAAAATTGGGAAAAAATATTTAGATTATAGGGGAAGTATGGTCAAAATGACATGGTGTTTTGTTTTTTTAATGTTAATAATTTATTTAGGGATAATATAATCAGTCTCAATGATTTTTAGTCATCTTTGGTTTATTGGCTTCCAGTTACATAGTCTTTCAATTAAATAGGAACTACAATAACATTTATTCAGAAAAAATGCAACCTATTATATAACCCACTTGGTTCATATAGTTAGGACAATAATTACATATTAAAATGCTAATTTTCAAGAAGATAGTTCATAAATAAATTGTTTGGTTTATTTAGGATATCAAGACATGAAGCTTGAGCCCAAAGGGAACAAAGCTTACATTGTAACCAACTTTTGCCTGATTCAGAGCGGCATAGAGTTTTTTGCGTTAAATGCTTATTTTAAATATCTATTTTATTACCAGTGGATTCTTTGTTCTGTTTTACGAAGTAGTTGGAGTAAAAGTTAAAATCCAATCACCATCCACAGGTTTCAATTTTATTTTTTGTTGGTCTTGAATAAACTGCCATTTAGAGACAACGCTTAACGTTTTTCTTTATTATTATTATTATCATTTATTCAGTTTTGTAATACTCTGGTATACTTCATGATATAAAATTTAACAATTGTTTTAATCAATTTTTCAACTGTTGTACTTACTGTTTGATAATTATTTATGTTTGTTTGAAATATAAATCAAGCATTTTCTGATTATATTGTTATAGTTTTCTTGTTTATTAAATTATTTTTACTTGGTCACGTATCTCTATATTTTTTCAAATTGTTTATACTAACATGATATAGAAATTATTTTTTCGAATAACTCCCGTTTGAATTTTCTAATTACTTTATCAATAAATTCTATAAATATATATATATATATATATATATATATATATTGAATGGTAAAGTCTTGGAATTGTGTATATTTTGTAGAGTTTCGAACAAGAATCCAAAAATAATACAAAATAAAAAACAAGAAAAGTTTTTTAAAAAACAATTTCTTTATTTAATTATTTGTTTATTGTCACGTTTCGGAAAGGTACGTTCCATCTTCAGGACATCTGTCAAGAAACATGATCTTGATGAGATTTAAGCAAACAATATGTTTAAGAATAGAAAATAGATTTTTCTTAAATAATAAATTAATTGTAACAAGTAATAATGTACAGAAATATGATAATATGATCAAAAAGAAAATGATAAAAATAAATGAGTGGATTATCAGAACAGGATATTAAAAATGATAGAAATTTTTTGAAAGTTATGGAAATTTTTTTTAAGAAAGGCTTAATGATAAAATTGAATTAATTACCTGTATGTTTGTATCCAAATTACCTGTATATTTGTAACCAAACCTACAGGTAATTAATTCAATTTTATCATTAAGCCTTTCTTAAAAAAATTTTCCATAACTTTCAAAAAATTTCTATCATTTTTAATATCCTGTTCTGATAATCCACTCATTTATTTTTATCATTTTCTTTTTGATCATATTATCATATTTCTGTACATTATTACTTGTTACAATTAATTTATTATTTAAGAAAAATCTATTTTCTATTCTTAAACATATTGTTTGCTTAAATCTCATCAAGATCATGTTTCTTGACAGATGTCCTGAAGATGGAACGTACCTAGTTCTGAAACGTTGACAATAAACAAATAATTAAATAAAGAAATTGTTTTTTAAAAAACTTTTCTTGTTTTTTATTTTGTATTATTTTTGGATTCTTGTTCGAAACTCTACAAAATATATATATATATATATATATATATATATATATATATATTTAATGTGTATTTGTTTATATAAGTCAATAACAACTATATATTTTTAAACAGGTAAAATTCAAGAGCGCATTGATAAAAAAGGAGCATATTTCCACTTAATAGCTTGTTCATTACCACTTGTTCTGACAATAACTACAATGGCTTTAAGTGAAATTGATGGTAATAGCATTGTAGGAATTTGTTTTCTTGGTTACAAAAATCACTCTATTCGCGCTGGATTGCTGCTAGGACCTATATGTGGAGTAATAATTGTTGGAGGATATTTTCTCAGTCGAGGGTTTTTAACATTGATAACCTTAAAGATCACAAGTAAAGATATTATATCTGCCCGAGCAAGCAAAAAAATTCGAGAGACTATTGCCAGAATGGGACTATGTTGTTTACTAATGGTGGTCTTGATTATTGGAACATTCTCTTGCCATATCAATGAATTTCAAAGTACACAAGCCTGGGCAAGTGATCTGAAGAATTATATTATGTATGTAATTTACATTACACATTTTTATGTATCACGACTAATCATTTCCTGATCAAATTCTAACTTACCCATTAGCTATGTACTAATACACCCTATAATAGTACATAGCTAATAATGTACAAAAATTAAGAAAGTAGTTTTGAAATGAAACAATAATGTTTTGAAAAAATAATGTTCACTGTAACTGAACTATTAAAATTATAGAATATTTCTTATATAATTATAATGCAATTTAATTATCATTTTCAGTTGTCTCATCATGTATAAATATGACACTTCAAATTCTGCTGAATCATGCCGCTTAACCAGTAGACCCAGTGTAGCATTATTACAACTACATTTATTATGCTGGTTTGCAACAGGAATTATAATGTCATCTTGGGTTTGGACTAAATCATCAGCTGAGGCTTGGAAAAGATATATTAGAAAGTATGTAATTCATAATTTTATTTATATAATATATGTAATAATGATTGATTACAGCATATTGATATATTATACATTTAAACTGGTTTTGAATTGAACAGATTGTAAATTAACTTTTTAATAACGTTTTATTAACATCTGTTCATTATTTTCATTATTTACTTAAATTTTTTATTTGTGACAGTGTGCAGAAGATGTTTTCTTTCATTTAATAAGTTACCACCCTATAAACTTTTCTTGGGTTAAAGTATAGAAATTGCAAAAAATCTGATTGAAATGATTGAAACTAAGTGTAAGTGTCATTTTGCTTAATGGCAAGTTGCATGAACTTTGCGATATTTTGTACATATTTTCCAAATATGTTATTATTGACAAATGGTTTAAATTAGGCTTGCAACGAATAGTATATTCGGCAAAATGCCGAATACCGAATATTCGGCATGCTTCAAAGACCGAATACCAAATTTTTGGCAGGTTTTTGGCGCCTATGCTCATTTGAAATAATGTAATTACTATCAGTAATTGTTATATTACTAACGCGCTACATGTTTATTCAAGTTTTATGCCTAGACTTGCAATCACTATTTGGATACTCTTTATTATTTGGAATGTTTAGCACCAATTATATTATTTGGTCGAATACCAAATATTTGAATACCATATGTGATAGTGAAATAAATGGTAATATCATGAAAAAGCGATTATATACATATATGTAAATGTATTTCCAATTATTTCTTTCATAAACTGTTAATATTTTCTTTTATAAACTCAATATTATTTCTTATATATTACAAAATTATATATAACAAAATGAATAAAAAATGATCAAAAATATAGTTTGTATATTTTGCGATAGAAAAACAATTATAATTCTTTGTTTGAAAATGCTTAGATTGATTATAATGATTCATATTAAATAATTTAAACATGTAACGATAAAGTATCTTGTGAATATTCAGAAAAAAGTTCTTCACGTGTTCATTGATAATGTCAAAAGTCGATAAAGTTTAAATTATTATATATACAATAACGAAATCATTTCTTTATATCATATTATATAAACAAAACACTTTCAAAGACAGATCCACCGCGAGTTCTTTATGGCATAAAAGATAGAACACTAACAATGCTGTCGCTGAGCGGCGGCGGCGGCGCCTTTGATTTTAACTATTCGGTTAAAAAATATAATAATCGCCGAATATTAATAATGGTGCCGAATACCGAATAGTTACCGAATATTCTGTACAAGACTAGTAAGCCTAGAACACGCGACTAACACATACACGGAGTATTTTCTGAAAGCGCGGCCGATTAATCCAGACTTCAATTAATTAAGTTATTTCGAATAATTTTTAAATCATTAAAATCTGTCCAGCCTCGAAAATGAACATATTCACATATCTTTTATGTTTCAAACGTTTTTGAACATTTTGACACGTCTTAGGAGAAATTTTGCCTTAAGGCAAGTTGCATGAACTTCTAAATGTGTAATAATTGACAATCAATCGGAATTGAGATTTAGCATACCATAATTATAATTATTGCGGGTTATTTGCAGAAAATTTGATTGTGAAATCGAAGAACCATTGAAACTTCAAAAGCATAAAGTTATAGCTCAAGCATTTGCAAAGAGAAAGGAATTTCATGATGCTGGCAGGCTTTCAATAACCTTTCATAATACACATACTGATCCCTTGGGTTTAAATTTTGAATTAAATTCTGTTGCAAGCCATGACTTTAGCTCTACATGGGCTAATAATTTACCAAGATTTGTAAATCGACGATGCGCCTTAACATGTCCAAATACTGGATCTGCATCATCTAGTCATTGTGGAAATCACAGAAGAAATTCCTTAGATTCTGAAATAAGCTTTAGCGTGCGTCATGTTTCTGTTGAATCTCGAAGAAATTCACTTGATAGTCAGGTATTAATTCAGTTTTAAGCATTGTTTAATTACTTAAGATTTAAAAATAACTGATTTTACATTTATTCATGGTAAAATATTAACAGATATCATTCAAAATTGCGGAAATGAAGACGAAAGTTGCAAGTCGAAGATGCTCCAAAGGAAAACGCATAAGAAAACGTGATTTTTTCAGTAAGAGGAGTAACAGAAACAGTTCAGTTGTCATGCGTCGAGAAAGTTCAACTAGTTTAGAAACTCAAATTGGTGCACAAATTATTAAAGTTTTAAATGCTGATCATAATTCAAGACCAAGCCTTAAGAGACGAACTGGAAATGCTGGATTAGATTCAGATAATATAAATAGTTTATTGTGTGATGGCAAATTAGTTTTGCCTTTTCTGCACAATCAGGGATTAACAACAAGTGATGATGAATGCCATTCAGTTGCTTCATTAACTATTAAAGACAGTCGTTTGGATGTTGTTTTAAGGCGGAAATCTCACATTTCGAGTGATGATAATTTAAATCAAGTCAGCATCAATATTGAAGAATACCACAGTAGTGATGATAAATGTTCTAAAAATTATGAAAAAAGTGATCCTGCCAATGAAAAATGTATAATGAGTAGTTCTCATAAAGATCGAAAAGAGAAAGAAGGAAAAATTACTAAAAGTACTTCAAAGTATATTAGAAATAAAAAATTAATAAACCTTAGAAAGAACAGAAAGAGTTTGAATGATAAGGTTTCACGTTCTAATAAACCAATAGAGAGTGAAAGTGGTGCTGATCATGATCTATGTGAATCTAGAGCACCTAAGTCTATAAAAAAATCAAGTTCTATTTCATCATCAGATTCGTACTGTTCAGAACTTTCGCCATTAGCTGTTCAGAGTTCTTTTTCTGGTATATCTGTGGGTAAAACAAACTCTAGAAACAGTAAGTTAAGTTGTGATGTAGGTATTCAAGCAAATGCTCATGAAATTGCCACACAAACTATGTCTTCCTATGAAAGAAACAATGGATCACATACAGAAATAATATATAAGTCAGTTGAAGATTTACATGGATCTCTAGAGATAATTAGTAAAGATGAAGCTTCAAAATACTCTCATACAAAGAAGTCAAATAATAGAAAAAATAGTGTTAATGTTGAAAGTGAATCAGAATGTACTCATTTATTGTTACCATCGACAAAACCTGTTATAGTGCAAAAAAAGAAGCATGATACCATTTCAAATATTGGACAAAGTGAAACTGACAAATTAAAACTTTTGTTATTGCCTGCTAAATAAATATGTATTTTCCATGACTGGTAATTGAAATAGGTGAATGTAGATACATCTATTGATAAAAAGTATATATATATATATATATATATATATATTTATATATATTGAATATTTTTATATTTGATACTCATTACATATATTATTTATAATTAATAATTCATTACATATCATGTCAAAACAATTTATAGAACTGAAAAAACTGTAAATACACATTATTTTTATACTGAATATTAACAAAGTTTAATTCATAAATAAAATGTATTTTAAACATAAATATAAAGTATTAATTTATATAATGAAAAACTACAAATTGCTGGAAGCTATTTATCATAAAACTTCATAAACTTTTAAGATATCATTTTTATATTTATATATACATATATGTATATTTGAAGTATTTTTATAAATCCCAATCGTTGAATTAAAAGAAGATACTTCAAACATGTATTAACGTCAACAAAACTATTAATATATATGTATATATATTATGGTTTTTCACATGGTAAAAGATATATTATTAAAAACAAAAAAGCTTTTTGTTTATAATTCAAGTCCCAGTTTGACCTTTTAGTAGATAAAACAGGCAAAATTTGATACAAATAGCATTTGCCAAATGGAAGAAGATTTATTTCAACATTTTTAGATTATGTTAATCTTAAATTTAGAAGTGCAGCGTTAAAGCAAATAATAAATTGTTAAGAGAAATTACTATTTCTCCCGACAAGCTTGATTGAATGCATTTTCTTTTGGTGGGTGTGAGAATTGCAAATTGATTTTGTATAAGTATATGCTTGGATTTTTAAGCATATTGCAGAGAGTAATTATTGAGTTGTTAAACTCAAGTGCTGAACTATTCTTTTGTTCAATATTAATTGTAAGTTAATTCAAATAACATTATTAACATACAACAATTTAAACAATTGAAAAGGAACGTTTAAACACAAAATGGAAAAGATTTATTTATATAAATAACAAACCATATTTCAATACACAATATTATAGTACATCACAGAGTGATAGCAGGCACAATCTATATTTATGTTCTATTTACATTTAAGTAATAATAATGCACTTGTATCAAAAGGCTACAGTATATCAATTAAACACTTACTACTTATGTTTAGTGCTTTTCAATGCTCTTAATTCTTTTCTCCATATGAAGTTATTTATTTTCTCTCCTAATATGTATAAAGATACTGAAAATGCAAAGCTAACTGCAAAAAATATGATTCTTTGTGGTAAATTCAAAACTGTTAAAACTGGATATACCCAAACACCCGAATAATATTTTATAATATGTAGCCAAATTAAATAAGTCAACATGAATATGAGTGAACCAGTTAAACCTGATTTTCGAGAAGGATATTCTCTAAATGTCAAATACATTTCTAATAAAATGAAAATCATTATATTTGTGTGCATTACATGATTCAACCAGCTTGGGAAAAAAGCATCAAAGCTTTTGGGAAACACGAGCTCCCTGTCAATAGCCATAAGTGTCCAAAATGTAATTCCAACATTCATTGCAACAGGAAATGCAAATGCTGCCATCATGTAGTCTTTCAGACCTCGCAAAAAGGATTTATGCCTTACACGAGTTTCATTTGATCCAGCAAAGTCATTTAACACACAAACAGTGAAATACAAGGCTTGCAGAACCTGAAACAAAAAAACGAATCAAACACAATTCAATAGATTATATAAATGACAATACTAACGGCATCAATAAATGTCAGATATTTGAATTTTCCACCAAACGGATTACCCATGACATGAACGCTTTGCGGGACGTGAACAAAATTCCAATCATAGTAACAAGCAAACCAATATTGTGTTGCCGCAATAAAATGGATTAACGTGCGCATTGCACCATAAACACTTTGGCCCCACGTACCAGCACCAATACAAACTGTCATTTTAAAGACAAGACTCAAATATTTTTAACTTGCTAATGTTAACCAATAAACAATTTTATTGTACAATGAAAATGAGATCGTCGGGACGTTAAAACGCAAGCCCAATATACAAAAAATTAACAAATTATACGCATTTAATGCTTTAATCAACGATTCTCACTCATTTTATTTGCCACATCTATTTTGTACGCATAGCATTTGACCAGGCATTGACCCGAAACAAAACATTTTGAAGTTGAATACAAAACGAATTTGACGTTACCAACATAGACCCTTCTATAATCTTTGCATAGACCAGTGTCTACAATAGACTATATTTGACTCTTATGATTATTTGTGTTTATTTATCTATGGCTTCGACTTACTGTTCCATAGATAAGAAAAGAGCATAGATAAGGGAATAACCATAGATAAGTAAACATAATGTAAAAAACACATGCATAAATAAACATAAAGACAAAACATATCCCCCTAAACCCTATATTTTTTTATTTTAATAATTTTTACTGCTGTCCCGAAACGGACAAGTCAAATATTTGACATAAAACTGAAGGTGTTGGCAAAATACAAATCAAGGTGTTATCTATTGTTGATTAATGCAAAAGAAATTTATTAATAATCCATTATTATATCTTTTAGAATGTAATATATAAGAAACTATTGAATTTGATCGACTTGAAAAATCATAGATTAGCGCATTACTTTAATTATAGACGTTGTTTTGTTAAGCAGGGGATATTCATTTGAAGAAAAATTAAATCGCTAACTTATAAGCCAAGCCCTAGCAAAACATGTTATGTAGCTACCACGTAATAAACAAAACCAAAGTCCAACGTTCAAGTATATTAAAGTTTCCAACTAAAAGTATTGAACGTTTTACTAACGTAACCATGGTTATTTATCTATTGTCTAGGATTTATCTATGTAACCATAGATAAACAAGTATGTATGTAAGTTATGTTTACTTATCTATGTATGTAACCATCAACATGGTAACGACTTTTTTCTGCGCTACTTTATTTTAACTTTTGTGGTTTACTGGGCTGGTTACAGTTGAAGCCATGGTGCTGCTTGATATTATTATATTGTTGTTCGGACGTATTTTTATTTTATTATATTGGCTATGAAGGTGACGATCATCATGACATTTAGCTTTTATACGGGATGGTTGCTACCCCTGGTAAAGGAAGTAGCGGAGTTCTTGATGGGATTAATAGTTCACTTCTAAAAGCCAAGCCCGCAAAACAACATGTGTAATAAATAATTAATAAATATTTCTTTCATTATAATTTAGTGACAAATTAGTATTTGTAATAAGAACTGAAACAAATTCATACAAGTACAAAACAAATCAGTGTTTAATACAGTTCATAGCTACAAGAATTAAATTATAACGTCACTACCTGAGTTATCGAAAGAGAGTTTTAATAAATTTTATAACCACGTGGCGGAAATACAATTGTCTACGCAACCAGAGATTATTATATTGTCTATGATGCAGCCTGAGATTTTCCACCATGTTACCAGCATGGTTAATTTTTTTTTGTCACTATAATGATATAAAATGGACTAATTAGTACTTTAAGTGTATCGCATTTTTTGGCGAAAACAACCCAAACATCAAAATCTTTCAAGATATACTTAATTCAAAGTTTACAAACATAATCAACATTATTTCCATCATTTCATCTTTAATTGGCATGCTCTGTAAAAAGTAGCCGATGTATAAATTAATTCAGGCCTAAATAAATAATTAATATAAGTAAATGCATGGTTTAAAAGTGTACTATAAACCATTTATATTGTTTAAGTTTTTCCAGATATCTGCTGCTGCTATTAAATATGATTTCAATTTTCTAAAAAAAAAACTTCTGTTTTAATTTTTTTATTTAAATTTTCATATATTTTATTTTACAATTCAGGAAAGTAATAGATAGTAACTTATAGAACTATTCCTTTTCAAGAACTATAAACTTATAGAATTTTACTTAATCATAAGGAATAGAAAACGATTGAAAACCGCCCCCATCTCTTTCCCTTACAGTAACATAAACATTTAGCGTGATTCTCTTTATTTATATCATAATTATATCTCCTTTATCATAACTTATATCTCCTTTTCAACTTCACCTAAATTAAAATAAAAAATGACCACAATAATGTCAACAAAAATCATTTAAATTTTTCAAGTATCGCGTTTTGCATCTACTATCCAGTTTTTTGTTTTGTGAGATAAGATTATGGCACAAAGGTACACAAGCGTTTCCATTATGTAACTGAATACTAACTGACTATAGTCATGAATTAGAAACTTAAAAAAATTAAATATAGCTTGCATTTATGATATAAAATTATTAAATACTTACAAGACACCATTGAGTTAGGAATATACTGCGCCCTTTAAAAGGTGCTTGTTCCCACAACTTTATTTCTTTTGGGAATCGAACATAAAGTTGATCATAAATAATTCCAAAATAATAGTGTAACATAATCAGCACATGTAAAATTTTAACAACACAAGAATTCGCCATTTTGTTATTTGTAATAAAATATATTATTAAGTTATAATCAATTAATTGAATGTGTACTCGTGATTATTCAAACAAAATCTGATTAATTTCAACACACTGGAATGACTAGTAATTATTCATAACTGGTATACTGCACTTCACGTGAATCAAAGTTGTAACAACGACTCTTAAATGATATAATACTTATTGAGTAATTACATTCACTTTCTACCGATGTTCAAAAAAGCAACTTTCAACATTTTTTGAAATAATTACTATAGACCAAAACGGTCTTATCTGAATGAAAGCGTTATTAGAACTGAAATCAATACGAATCAGGACGTATAGTAGTCACAGTAAAAAGTGCAAAGGCTAACCATGACCTTGTGCGTCAATTCATCTAATCATATATAAAACGCTTGATAATGATGAAATAAAAAATTAAAAATAAATAGAAATATTGCCAGTAAATCAGATGGATAAATTGTTAAATTTAAGTTTACATATAAACATTAACACACACACTTATATATATTTATATATATACTAGCAAACCCGACGAACTCCGTTTCGCCACCAGATGGTTTCGTGAGAAAGATGAAGAAATTTTTTGTTTGTTTTAAATTTGAAAAGGAAAAATTTAATTTTATTATACAACAGTAATGAATTTATTTCGATTACAAAAATGAAGTATTTTTTAGTTGAACTTCTCTAAGTAAATGAAAGTGAATCCATAATTAATTCGCAAATTTTCAACTAATTTTCTTAGCTATAAACGAAACGAAATCGTTTTGTGCGTTCTGGAGTTATATCGTCAGGAAGGAAAACCCGACTTATTTTTATATATATAGAAGATAATCTATTTGAAATTATTTAAAACAGTTATTGATTATTTTTATTACTCGAATTTTTAATTACGGTGCGGGAGTTCCAGCAGCTTGCATTAAGGCACGATGCCATGCACAACTAATTTTTTTAGCTATAAACCTTGCGGAGCCCGAGACTTTTCCAACGGATACAAAATTGTCGAAATCGGTTCGTGCGTTCTGGAGTTATTTCGTCAGGAAGGAAAACCCGACTTATTTTTATATATGTAGAAGATAATCTTTCTGAAATTATTTAAAACAGTTATTGATTATTTTTATTTCTCGAATATTTAATTACGGTGCGTGAAGTTCCAGCAGCTTGCATTAAGGCACAATGCCGTGCACAACTAATTTTCTTAGCTATAAACCTTACGGAGCCCGAGACATTTCCAACGAATGCAAAATTGTCGAAATCGGTTCGTGCGTTCTGGAGTTATTTCGTCAGGAAGAAAACCCCAACTTATTTTTATGTATATATAGAAGATAATCTATTTAAAATTATTTAAAACAGTTATTGATTATTTTTATTACTCGAATTTTTAATTACGGTGCGTGCAGTTCCAGCAGATTGCATTAAGGCACGATGCCATGCACAACTAATTTTCTTAGCTATAAACCTTGCGGAGCCCGAGACCTTTCCCACGAATGCAAAATTGTCGAAATCGGTTCGTGCGTTCTGGAGTTATTTCGTCAGGAAGGAAAACCCGACTTATTTTTATATATATAGAAGATATATATATATATATATATATATATATATATATGATATAAATCAATAAAGTTGAAAAAAAATTGTCTACAATATTTAAAAGTAGAGGATAAAAACATGTACAACAAAATCCATAACAAAAGTATTTTCCTTCGTTGTTAGTTTTTCTGGTCGCGAGCACTGTTGTTTACTGAGTTTACGAGACCTTGATATAATTTCTAACTTTACGTTATTTAATTAGATGTGTTGTTAATTTTAAATTAGATTCAACATTTTTTGGGTGAGGTAAAAGAGACCAACTGAAGGTGTAAAAAATGAAAAATAGTAAATAAAACTGAAAATTAAGTGTAAAAAAGCAATTTTATAAGAGATAGACATAGTCAGAGAATTGTTCGTTTGACATGCGATATATGTTGTGTTGAAATTGGTTTGGTTTTTGCAATATAATTGCTCAAAGTCAAATTGGATTTTTGTGCCCTGCCCTACCCTATATTACACACACACACACACACACACACACATATATATATATATATATATATATATATATATATATATATATAGGGCCGGTCCTGCCTTGCATGCGAATCATGCAAAAAATGCGGGCGCACGCCTTAGGGGGCGCCAAAACGAGATTCGGAAGTGAAATTTATAATATATTCACATTTTTTTATATATAATATTATACTTAATACATTACAATAAACAATCTAACTTCTATGATTACGGATGAGACACAAAAAGCATATTTAGTTTGCAATGTGATATCAGTAGAAACAATTCATTATTCTGCAAATTAGTAAGTTATTGTTCTGCTTGTTGTTTAATGTACTTATTAAATTTTTTTTCGTTTGAAGTTACCGTGTAATCGAAAAAGAAATGATCTAGTGTTCATTCCCATAAGCTCAAACCTGCGAAAGATTAAATTAATTATTGGGCATTATTGACGAAAAATTGCGAGCTGAATTAGTTTGAACGGAACTTGTTAACAAATAGATACAAATTATAATAGAGAAAAGTGGAAAATGGGAAGTCAGTGCTTAGAAAATGGATTGTTTATTCCGAGAAATTGAATTGTAACTTTTGTTTTTGTTTCAAATGTTTCGTATCTGATGAACTTTGAACGTTGA